TAGATGATTTACATAAGCAACAAAGGAAGCCAAAACACACATGCATTACTATATTGCTGGTATTCTGAATGAAATTGATGTGGATAACATCTCTTAGAGATTGCAGCCAGATTGCCATTCACATTGTCCACCACTGACAATGTGCTGCTTAAAGTTTATTAAAACAGAAGTATGGTTATGCTCACACTTAGCCCAAGTTTGTCCTACGTCAAACTCAAAATAATACGTAGAAATAGCTAAAATTTTCATTAAATACCTATATAGCATGAGAACTACTTGCAGACAGGTACTGGAGTTTCTATCCTGTTTGAATGTTGTTAAATGTCAAGGGAATAGCTCCTAACTCTGGTTGCTATTACTTTTGCTAAGCAAGAGCTGGAAACATTAAAGAATAAGGCAAAAGCAAGGACTTAATGAAGAGAGTAAAGAAAAAGAAGTAAAATGGTGTTTCGTGATGCTTGGCTGCAAGAAAACCCAAAGACAAAGGGTGTTTTTTTGACAGAGGCCCTCTGGACTTTGTACAATATTCAAGACAGTAATAACTTACATTAGAAAGTTTGTTGTTATTCTGCCTTAAAGAGCTTCAAGAGGCAAGATCTTAATATTGGTGATATATTACATAATTTTCTTCCCCTCTCATAAGGAATGTTTCTGAAAAAATTGTTTTAACAAGATTCCAGGAAGTTTCTTTTGACAAGATTTTCTAATGACTAATGATTTACTATATCAAAAGGAGGAAATAAACTACCATGGTTCTGTAAGGTTACAAGCCAAAGTACACCCATTCTCTTCCCCAAGACAAAAATAGCCTTCTGGCTGCAAAAGTCTAAGGACCTGACTGCTCCTTGAAGGAACAAACTATAAATTTAATGCATCATAAGACAATAAGTCATATAATACAAGTTTCTAATTTAGAGGATCCCCCAAAATAGAAACCATGGAACATAATACTCAAGTTAGAAGATCATGCAAAACACATACCAGTGAACCTTTGCTTGATTATTATCAATATCAAGGATTTTAGATGAGTTTCCACAACTCCGATGGTAGTGGCACTCGGGTTAACAAATAAAACTATTTCTATCCTTGAACACCTCTAGACCAGACTTTTGGTTGGGCATTTCAACCAACTGTTTATTGTAACTTAGCTGGACAACAAAGGATAGAGAAATATTTTGTCTTTCTTGCCTCTCTTTACACATCCCGCACATGCATAATTGCCTAACGCAATGTATGGTCTATTTGCAAGAAGCATAATTCAATGGACAATGTTGATGAATGGAGTCTACTCTTTCATGAAAGAGAGAATTTTTATGAAGCACCTATTACTGCATAAATTAAAGAACCAAGAGCTGAATCCATGTACAGAGAACCAACTTGGTCTGCCTTTTGTTGTACCCATTAAAGGACATTTTGAAAGGATCTTCAACATGTAGGAAGGCACATAAATTGGCTCTTCAACACCATTCTTCTCAGGCAGGAAAAAAAACCCGTCTTCTACTCTTTTTAAATGATATTATCCTGAAAGTAGCTTCAATATGATGTGATCTGCAAAAAACAAATTTAACATTTCTTTCTTCTACCTTTTTTCCAAGTACCGCATGCACTGTTTCTCACCCTAGCTGTAATTGAAAAGCCCCTAACAACTAGACCTGACTTGCATTCAAAATAAAATTAGCAACCCTTCTTCCCACCATCTAAAAGAATCTTTTTCAGTAACAAAACATCAATTTCCAACAAGCTGTTCTTCGACCCTGGGCATTATACCTACCCTAAAATCTACAATACATAAAGGATTATTTCAAAACTTTTAATTATAATGGAGCAAAAGTGAATGAAATCACTTATAGCTGCAACTCGTAAGCTAAACTAACACAGCTTCAGTTTAGCTGTTATTTGTATATTTACTCATCTTTTGTTCATGTTTAAAAAATGGTTAAAAAGAACTAGGGAACCCTGTTAAAATTTACAACCAGAAAGTAAATCTCATCTACTAGTCAAATTAATTATTCAACTTACTCTTATTAACGAAATCAAATTCCTTCTGTATCCAAACCAAACATCTTGTTAACCGCAGAGGAATTACTTAGAAACCTCACTCACATTGTGATGATTTACGCATAACTTGATTCATTTCTCTATTGATCTCCTTACGATATCAATTCAAATCTATGTTTCCATTCCAAAAACAAAATCTGAGTTTTAAACTCCACAAGACAAGCAGACCACAAGTATAAACCCCATCACTAAATAGAATCTTCACGAAATTACCATTTCCATCTCCAAGATTTCAACTTTAACTAAGCAAAAAATCAACAAAATTTCTAAATTCCACAATTGCAGCCAAGCTAACAAGGAAAAAGAAAAAAAAGAGTAGCAATTAGAAAAACTACCTTAGGTGGAGGGGTAGTGGTCTCAAACAAAAGGGCATCAGGTTTATCAGCAAGAACGGAAGATTTAGTCCACAAGCAACTCATCCCACATCGACATGAATATAAATTATCCAAATTATCAGGAATCCAAGTCCACCCTTTTACCAAAACACTAACATGGTCCATTTTCAACTCATTGCATCCAGAATCATCAACATCTTCCTGCAAAGACCCAGACCTGTTGGAAAGCAAATGGATCAAATCCCTATGTTTTTCCTTGAACTGAGCACAACCTATTTGAGAATCCCATTTATTAAAAGCAACAAACAAATCATTAAACGGGTCAGGCTGGGAATTTTGGGTATCGATTGGGTTGGAAAGGTGGATCGAGGTGGATACTGAGGGAATTCAAGGAAACCTGAAAAGAAGAGGATCAAGAAGGTGAACAACAACATGATCGTGACGGTCAAAGTGTTGAGAGGTTTCAATTGCATGGTGGTGGTGGAGTAATTTCCTAGGCTTGGTTGCCCCATTGTATTTTTTTTTTTTTAATTTTCTTTACCCCACTATTTTTACTGTAACTATTACTATAATTATTTTGGGCAAATAAAATTGTTTTCATAGAGTATTTTGACTTGTGATATAATTGAATGGGTGATACTTGGAAGATGTACTTAGGAACAAACTTTAATTAATAAAATTCATAATTGATCAGAAACAATCAACGTAGAGTTACCACCAAATGAAAATCTCTAATATTTTAAATGACATGAATTTGTTTTGATGAATACAAACTATAGCTACAAAATGTTTGTCTCTTAATTGGAAGGTCAAAGAAGAAAGTTTTCCAGAGTATCAAAGGAAGAATGTGGCAACGACTACAAGAACGTTTGTTATCTTTCGCAGGTTAGGCACTTTTAATCCGTTCGGTAGCTCAAGCTATTCCAATATACAACATAAGCTGTTTTCTGCTCCCAAAGAGCTTGGTGAACGAGCTGAATATGCTACTTGCAAGGGTTTGATGAAGTGATGAACAGAGGCGCATGTATTGGAAAAACTGGGATTTCTTATGTGAATCTAAGCTAGATGGGGGGAGACTTTATGGCTTTCAACCTTGCCATGCTGGCAAAACAATGTTGGAGATTGGTGCAGGGTCTTCTCTGTGTCATCAGGTCCCTAAAGCAAAGTATTTCCACCAATACACGATCTTAAATGCTGGCTTGGGTACCAGTGCATCGTATGCATGGAGGAGCATAGTGGTGGGGAAGGAGATACTTCTAGCTTGGGTAAGGTGGCGGGTAGGGGATGGGGAACAGATTGATATTTGGAGGGATAGATGGCTCAATAAACCACCCAGCTATAAACCGACCTGCCTGTTGAAAGATGGTGGACCACCAATGAAGGTAGCAGAGCTAATAGATCAAAAAGCCAGAAAATGGAATGAAGGGATGGTGAATCAAATATTCAGACAAGAGGACCGTCATCTTGTACTTGGAGTGCCATTGAGTCAATAGCCCATCCCTGACAAGCTAATATGGATGGACTCATCTTTGGGGACGTTTACGGTCAAATCTGCATATCATGTTGCTCCAAGATCACTTGGGAAAGATCAAGCTGATAGAGATATGCGATCATCGTTGTGGCAGATGGTATGGAGGGGGACGTTGATGCTTAAAGTTAAAATCTTCGTATGGAGACTTGTGTGGGGAATACTACCAGTAAATGAAGTTCTCGAAGCTGGAGGGCTAGGTAGGGAAGATAAGTGCTATGTCTGTGGAAAAGAGAATGAAACTGGCTATCATGTCTTTTTTTGCGTGTATTCAGTCGTGCAGTGTGGGGGAAATATATCCATGGATGCAGGATTTTTGGAGAGTTGGTCTTTGTTTGATGATTTCTGGCTAGCTTTTATGATTAAAACCAAGCAAGAGAATCAAATGGAGCTGTGCATGTGCTGAGGCCATGCTAGGTGCAACACAGGAAGAACACTAACCACCAACGCATCAAGATTGGCAGAATTGTCCAGGCTGGTGAACGCAAATAGCAGAAATGTGCAACCAAAATCTAGTCAACGGTGGAAACTGCCGGTGGATTTTGAGGTAAAAATTAATGTAGATGCTGCAGTGGATTTACAAAACAAGATGGTGGACTTGGGGATGGTGGCTCCAGATTGGAGGGGACGTGTTATTCTAAGCGGTGTAACTAAGGTGATTGGTGTGGATAGCCCTCTGTATGCAGGGATGAAAGCTGTACTTTTTGGCTTGGGAGTAGCGAGGGAAAGGAATTATGAATCAGTGATGGTAGAATCTGACTCAAAACTAGCAGTGGATGAGATAAAAAAGGGTGCATCATAGTTGTGGGAGGGAATAGGGATTGTGATGGACATTCTGCAACTAGCAGCACGGCTAAAAGAGACTGTTATAGGTTATGGGAGTAGGAATGCAAACTTTCTGGCACATAATATAGCAAGAGTGCCTTGTCCTGTGGCTCATCAGAGTATTTGGGAAGAATCCTTACCAGAATGTATTACAAATGTGGATGATATCTTATATAAATGAATTACGTTTTATCCAAAAAAAAAAAATGTTGGTCTCTTGACATAATTCAAACATCCTTGGGGATCCTCCATATCTGGTAATTGCCCCCAAACCATATGTCTCAATTTAATCTTCTTTCTTCCCAGCTCCATACTCGCTACTTTCAGTTTCAGCATGATCATCAACCTCTTCGCCACTGCCACCCCTGTGGTCTTCATCATCTTTGCTCAGGCTTCGTATAAGCATCAGCATTGCAACCAAAAACACAATTATATACACAGCTCTGATGCCAATTATTGAATTGATAAAGTCCATAAATGATGGCCCTTTAATTCTTTTCTTTTCGGTTCTTCCTTCTCTATATCCATCTAGGAATCGTGACATTTGAGACCCTTGATCTTCATCATCAAGGCTTTCACAACCAATAACCTTCCATAAAAAGTAGTAGATTAGTCAATGCCTTCTAACAAAAAAAAATATATATGTTGAACAAAAAGAGAAAAAAACTACCTAAGTCAACCAACACAAGAAATCCCAATGATACAACCATATAGAGAATAGACATATCAAAATTTGTTTTACGATGCAACTTTCTGGGCTTTAAACAAGGAAATGGGAATATTCCATGAATTTGTGAATTCTCAAACGAACAGTGATTAAAGCTGCATAATACTTGATGAACATAAGCGTATAACAGGATGTTTCCTGTCGTACAATAATGTGAAGTAAATCCAGAGCAGCACAAGCATTTATTCCAATGGATTGCTGATATAGAGAGCAGCATTAAAAAAAAAATCAACCAGAAAAATATGAGAATAATTCTGCATCTGCAATCTGCTTTGGCCAACAAAAATGAAGATGTGCATAATAACATATTCTTATAACATCAATAATGTCCATGTGGTACCAATTATTATGTTATGCGACACTTAAGAAGATAACCAGTTACAGTTTACCACTAGCATTAAGAAACATAATATTTGAACAATTAATACTTACCGAAAAGTACTCCTCATCACCATTCCAGACAATCAATTTTGGCAAATTGGACTTCTTATTGGCACCAAATGCATCAGCAAACTCTTCCCACTGTTTAACTCCAACATAGCCAAACACCAAGTCATGATTTGCAGATGCAGCAGCCTTCAATAACTTGATCAATTTCAGTGATTTTTCTTCATTTTCATCCTGCATAATTGTCAGGACAATTTTTCTCTCATCATCCTTCAGTAGCTTCAATGTTTCATGGTTCATGGGCACTGCCAGAGGGAGCAAATTTTGCTTAATAAAATCACCCAAAAATTCATCTGCATCATTGAAGACAGAAGAGTAAGATAGCTTTTTCTTTATGTAGCCATAGACAATTATCAAGATAATAATTAGCAAAAATTAAAGCATTTGAGGAATTTTAACTACATGAAAAGAAGAAAAAATTTGTACAGAACAGAAAACATGTGAAATTGGAGAGTTGACAAGAGTACATACTTAAAAATCGATCAAAACCATCTTGCTGAACATTAATGATGCTGTGGCAGCGGTCGATTAGGTAATTTTGAAGTTTAGCATGAACTTGACTAAATTTTTTAGGTCATGTTTGAGCTAAACCCAATAAGGTAGAAAAGTAAGTTGGATTTGACTGATTTCATGATGCTAACCGTTTAATACTGAGTAGTTAATGCATAAGACATTATATGGGCAACAAAGATGGAGAAAGAAAATAAATTATTTCTTTGACCATATGCACAAATGAAAGACCTGTCAACATATGACATGTGGCAGCTTCTTAGTCTCAATTGGTTGGGGAAAATGAAAAGAATGATTCAAAGAATTTTGCAATGGTCATAACATTTTGTGCATGACAAATCCAACTTCAATTGAGGTAGGTACTTAAAATTATTTCACATAATCTACAAGGTTTATCTTTCTGAAATAACATATTGAATATAACATGTTATTTTTCTTTGTTTCAATATAACAGCCAAACCCTGGTGTGAAACCTAGATATCTGCTTCTTTCTTCATTTTCAGTTTCCATCTTTGTTTTAAATCTAAAACCAACCTTAAATCATTACCATTAAAAATTCTTGTCATAAACCCTAGCCCAACTCACATCAATCAAATTTCTGAGAATGTTAATATGCATTGGCATGAAGCAACTGACAAAAATAGCTGTCACTTTTAAGGCAGTGTTATGTAATTAAATGTAGGTGATAAAAACTTGAGATGATTTTAGTATCAGAGCTAATTTTAATCCTATGATAACAAACTAACCTTCAAAGGGACCGTAAAAAATGCTCTGCTGGTTATAACTTGGATGAAGAACCACCAAAGCAGGAACTTTGTCAAAGTCATACAATACCATAGCATCCTCGGAGAAATCCTTTGCTATGGAAAACCAGGCCTTCTTTTTATACTTAATGGCTAAATTAGATATCACCATCTCATTCAAGCCGAAACCTATGTATATAGGAAAGTAAGTACCAGCTGCTTCAACAAAATCACTAATGGAAGAGTCTGAACTAAGAATAGAGACATCAGGAGCAACGAATTTCTTCAAATATCGAACAAGTAAATCTGCTTTCCTTGGCCCGTAATAGTCTACAGGAACACCAAGCATGAAGAGCTTGAGTGTAGGATATCCACTGCAAAATCAGCATTATATTATAACTATAACCAACTACAAGCTAACATTATAGGACTGTATTTCACTGAGACAAATCATTAACATCCTATAATTACACATAAAAAATGGTCAGGTGAAACGAGATTTGCATAAAAGGGACAACTAATAGTAACAGATCAGAGTTAATCATTTTTAAGAATGACCATGGGCTTTCACTTCAAGACTATGCCTTATTACTACTTACATGAATTTTTAAACAGTTTGTAGACTGGCATCTCGATTAGTAACATGCGTACAATACCATTACATTTGTCTTTGATGCCTTGCATAAATATTTATAACAGCCAAAGGCATTCCAGGCTAATCAATTTTACCATGAAATAGAAACAAAAGCCATAGATGCTTACTCGATTTCGTGTTTACGAGCAAGACTGGTGAACTTGTCAGCATTTAGTTTAGCTATCACTATGGGCTTCCTTAATCCAGCAAGAATTGGGGCAGCCTCATCTAACTGCAATCCAAGCAACATAGTTGGATTATGGAAAACTTAAAAAGGAATAATCGGAAATAAACCCAATATCATTTCAACGAAAAAGAAAAACAAAAATTCAGAAAATTTGATCAAAGGCCAATGGTATGGCTGAATGTAGAGAAAGATGGGACCTGGGCGGAAAGGCGTTTGCAGTGGCCGCACCAGGGGGCGTAGAAGTCGACGAGGATGTAATCGAATGAGGAAATAGCAGAGTCAAAGTTGGATTCGTCTAACTCCAACACTTTCCCATCTACCTTAAACTCATCGCCTGTCGAACAAACTACTGATTTCAAGTTGCATACAAGCAAGCAGCAAAAAATTGCTATCCAATCCATCTTTCCGATTCGACCAACTAATACAATCATGATTTATCACTGATGAAGAGCGAACACCATGCTTAATAATTTCTTAGTTGATAAACGGAAAAGTATTATCATATTTTTATTTTATGAGTATTTAAATGTGTTTTTCTGTCCCTAGGAAAACGAAGGTGTTTTATTTCGGCAGTTGTTTTGAAATTAAAATTTAATTTTTAAAAAGAAATTAAATTGTGAGCAAAAAGCATAATAAATTATTAAATAATCTAATTAATTAATTAAAATATAATTAAATAAATCTAATATAAAATTAAATCAAATCTATATTAAATAAAACTTAAACTTAAAATTTAAATCTAAAACCTAACCTTTATCATTAAATTAAAAACTCATTGACAATGAAATTAAACTTTAAGTATGATTATTCTTTGGAGTTTACAAACAAATAAACTGAATAAATAGTTGTTATATATTAATCTAATAATTTATTTATTTATTAAATTTCATAAATATATTTCACTAAATTTATATTATTTTTTAACATATTTAATAAATTTAAACATAATAATTAATAAAACACGCATATCTTTTTTTAATACTACCTGAATTGAATAATTCTATATATTTGTTGAAAAACTTAGTACCATTCGTACTTTTTCATTTATGAAACTTAAAATTTCATGCTATTAGAGGTAATTATCCATTTAAACAATTTATCCTTCTTTAGCTTCATTGAATGCATTATTCTGAAAATTCAATTTGGGTATGCAATATTTTACTATCTTCACTCTTTTTCAACTTGTTTAAGTATAATATTTTTATTTATTATAAAATTTTAATTATTTCTAAATTTTCTTTTAATAGTGTCAAATATATGTTATATTTTTTAAATATCTATTAATATGCTAACATTAGTAATGAATTTTCAATATTAGTAATTTAAAAATATGTTTATTCAAAAACCTTTTACAATTATTATTATAATAAAAATATTTTTTTTTAATTTGTCAATATAAATAGTGACAAACCAATTTCTAGTCCCTATAAGTTTTCTAATAGTAACAATTTCAATTGTCATAGTGATAAATTTGTTATTTTGATAACTATATATCATGGTTAATATGTTATATTTAATGGTAACAAAATTTTCAAAACAAAAAGTAAAGTATGATGTGACAAACAAATTTTATCATCACAACAATGTCCAATATAGTTGTAACCATTTTATATGTCATACTAGTTTATTATTCTCCATCAAAAATCACTTACCATCAATTTGTGTATTTTATCAATAATGATTCTATAATGGCAAAAAATTTTGCTTCACAGGCATATATTTATAATGATGATTTAATTTTGAAGAAGCTTTAACTATCACACTTACTATTATAATAGTGATCGAATAACAATGCGTCACAATTACTTATTGCAACAATGTCATATGAAAATTTCACCACAATAAACCTAATATTTATGACAAAATTGCTTAGGATAACAGAAAAATTGTCACTAAAAGTCTTAACTATTAACATATCTATAGATTCATTAGGGTAGCATGACTTGAAATTACTTATAAAAGCAAAATAAAATATAATTGATTTTTCTTACTTGATACTACTAAGAATTGAATTTTGACAATTAAAATTAAGAGTTTAACACTTTATTAATATATCATACTTATTAATATAAATAGTTTATTATTAATATATCATCTAACTCTTAGCTTCATGATCATGATTATGTAAGTAATTGCTAAGAGATGAAAATGGATGAAGATAACTAAGAACATTGCTTACCCAAGGACTTAGTAAGCTTTTGAAAAGTAGACTCATCACAGGGTAGTTGAAACCTATTCTGGTTATTGAATCCATATGCTTCTGTAGCTTTGTCAAGCCATTGTTGAAAGATAAGGTTTTTTAGGAAAGATGTGGAAATTACAAACCTTCTCATTTTAGTACCCACATATACCACAAAATGCCTTTTTGGAGCTCTTCTCATTTCTTCATTTGCCTCTTTCTTTGCCATCACTTAGGAAAAAAAATGAATAAATGTATTTATATAATCAAATATGAAAGAAGTTTGAATTAATTTGGAAGGGAATGCTCTAAAGTATATATAAAACCTGGGAGGTGTGTCTTGCCTTCATTATCATGGAAGATAAGGTATGAAAAACTTAAGGATTTTGAAAGTGTCATAAGATTGTCACTAATGTGGACTTATGGGTTAATTTTAAGATGCTTCAAAGTGTAAAATAAGGATATAGAGAAATACAAAGATGGGTAGGCAGACAAGAAAAGATTGACTTTGATGATTGTATTTTGTATTCCATTAATGCTAGGACTATGTTCTTTCTAGCTACAATATTAAGTTCTCTGTAGCACAAAAAATTTTTACTATTGAATGATAAAAAAATTTCACATGAAATTAGAGCTTAACTCAATTAATTTATTTAATCATTTTTTTTAAAAAATGATATTCAATAGGTCTAAGGTTTATTACCTATAACTTTTTTCTCTTATTTTAAGGCTACGACCTCCTTTATATCAAAAAAATTCACATTAGTTAAATGAGGACATTTTGAATATATAAATATACTAAAAGTCACTTCACTTATTATTTAATAATTTTGTATTTAAATGTTCATCTAAAATTTAATATGATATTAAAATCGACATTGCTTTTATTCATTGTTCCCTATCATCATAGGTTTGTTATAATTACAATATGAAGTTCATATAGTATGATAGGTTTATTATATCTACACCTGGATATATATTCTTTGTCTCTACACCTATGATATTACATGTGATAAATTCTTTGTCTCTATACCTAGAGGAGAATATTAAAATGATGATAAAAAATCTTACATCAATTATATGTCATTGATTTAAAGTTAAATTTTTTGTCTCTACATTTTGAATACATAAGTAAAATATATGTCATTCCATCGATTCCCAATTGATTTAAAGTTGTTGTTTAATCTTAAGTCTTAAAATTTAAAGTTGCATACTAAGCTGCAATACTCATCAGCACATTAAATTTCGAATGGTTATGCAAACAAAGAGAACCATTCCCATACACCTACTATGTTGAACCAAAATAAGCTAGAAAACGGACATTATTGACTTGAAACTGATTACTTGAGAGTCGGACAAATTTACCAAAGGCTTAATATTATGGAAAAGATTTAGGAGAAGTTTTTTAGGTGAAATTTATTAAGCATTAAGGATCCTTACCAATTTTAGCCCAAGTAAGTCCTATGAACTCATGGAGTCATGATCAATTAATTTCTATTGGGCTTAGTACATTTCCTGAACATGCTAAAGCATTTAGTGGTTTGAGCAAATAACCAAAGTCTCGACAGGGTCATAAGGGATGAATGATCTAACCACACAAATGTCTAAGCTTTAGAATTTGATTTTCAGGATGGAGTCACCACGTTCCATAAAACTTTCACAAATCATTTCGAACCTAAACTTGCATTCAAATTCTTTTCGTGTTTGTCTTCAATATCCTTTGCAAGCATTTAGAAATAGGTCCTAAACTTCATGTAGTCTCCAATAAGTCTACATTTGAACTAAAATCTCTAACCTTCCATTTCTCAACCATTTATTCAACCAATTTTTCCACTTCGTACCTTTGCACCATCATAGAATGCTTGGACTCCTAAGCAATCCATTGTCCAAAAATTACCAAAGAAAAAGAAATAGTTTGATCCTATCTCCATTTAATATGGAAAACTCTTTGCTTGTTTGCTTAAGAAAAATCTTGTTACTCTTATGCTTTTAGAACCTTTAAAGCCTCTGTGCCTAAAATGGTTCAACTCAAATGCAAGATACGAATACCATGGTAGGAATAATAGGCACTTCATTGAGAATTGTGAGACTTTTAAACACAAGGTGCAATCATTCATAGATGCAAAATGGTTGACCCAACAACAATAATAGGTTAAAGATCTAGGAATAATGAGAAGGGATGGCATGATGATGAACATGGATGGGGTTTTTGATTAAAGAAGGTTTTCAAGTGATAAGTTATTAGGACAATGAAATGTTTTGTGAACTTTTTCTGTTTGGAAAATGTTTTTTTATTTTATTTTATGTTAATATTATGGTGTCTTTTTGAACTTGGATATGTGAATTATGATTTGCCTATAATTTTTGTCCCATATTCAAATTTTTACACTTTTTTTACAAAAAGCTTTGTCATTTGAGCATTAATTCATTTATTTATATATCTGTTCAATAAAATGTAATTCATGTGTGCTCTAAAAGGAAAAATTTCTTCAAGAATAATCTTAGCATTTTTTTTTTTAAGAAAAGAGGAATATTGATTTAAAAGGAGGCAATTAAAGGAGATTATCGATGAACTTTTTACTTAAGGAAAGATAAACGTAAAGAACCTAGCTTAGGATCCTTAAGGGAGAAGTCATGGAATTTAGATGAATAACAAAGGTATAGTCTCTTAGAAAAAAGAATTTAAGCTATTAAAAGTAAGGATAAATCTTGTAACGCAAAGGAATCCTAGCTAGTTCCAAATGTGGTTATTTAACCTAAGTTTAAGGTTTCAACATTTGAGAATTATGATGAAATTGGATGTTTTGAGAAATAATTGGTTCAATATTATCACAAAATGGTTTGGCATGCCCATAACGAAAAGTTGCTTATTCTTGTTTTTCAAGAAAGTTTGATTGGGATAGCAGCTAATTGGCATTATAGTTTGAAAAACAATCAAATTCGTACTTAAAGGGATTTATCTCAAGCATTTTTGAAGTGATTCCACCACATGTTGGAGATAACTTCAAACTGATTAGCCTTTCAAAATTTGAAGAAGAAGCTTCAATGAGAGCTATAAAAAATATGCCACTAGATGGAAAGAGGTTGCATTACAAGATCGATCACCCTTAAATAATAAGAAGTGGAATTCTTTATTTGTGGATACCCTTCCTTCTCCATATTATGATAAGTTGATTGGTAACATGTCATTGAAATTTGTAGATTTGCTATTTATTGTGGGTAGAATTGAAGATGAGATAAAAAGTGAAAGAATTATGGATGCCAATATAGAAATCCATAACTAAAGGCAGGGAAATATTTTCAATGAATATGCCTAAGAGACAATTGTTGAAAGGTGAAATGAGAAAAATCTTGTCATGATATAAGAAGATTTGGTGAATGACTATTTCCAATGGTCACCATAT